AGACAATGAAAGCCTCCATCCAATCCATGCGTGTGCATTATTTGTTATATTTTGGCCGGGATCTTCCAAGAGCAAGATCCCATGTTGTTTTCCCCTTAACACCCAGGTCAGGCATCCATCATCCCTCCTGGTAACTGTCTCTGGTCCCCCATCTATAGTGTGAGTATCTTCCCATTATAAGATTTATGCATCCCTACAGTTAGTGTGTTATAATTATTCTTGGAGAGTCTCTTTTCACTGCCACACTTCTCATGGACACAGGATTTGTCCTTGTGTTCCCAAAGCCTACCACAGTACCATATCCTTAGCAGGCATTCAGTAATGGGTGCTGAATGACCTGACATCTCAGACATAGCCACTCTGGATCCCCTACTGATTGGTTATTCAACATAGATCTACTCAACTCTTTCCTTCAACAGTTTGGATGGGCTTTTGTGCCACAAAGTCTCATGACACAAGCTTACCTATGTAAAAAACCTGCACATGTACCCTGAACTTAAAATAAAAGTTAAAAAACAAAACAAAAATACGTGGTTTTAGCCAACCCTGATCATTCATGCTCAATGTACACCTACTGAGAGATTGGCACTTGAAAGTTTAGTAGGCATTTTTATTTTTGTTATTTATTTTTTTCTACCTTTTTGTTGCTGAATTCTTATTATAAATACCATTTTTGTTATTGTTATTAGCTACTCAGTGATTGTCTACATTTTAAATCCTATAATATCCTCACCCCCCAAATCTCAAATTTGTTTCAGTAATAGCACTAAGTAGTTAGGGTTTTTTATACATCTCTCTACCGATACAATGATTTTTGACCTTCCCTGTTTCCACAGGAAGAGCACTGGTTTAACTGAGCTCATCAGGGAAGCTTTCTGCAATAAGAAAAATCTCACCACTCTGTCATCTATAGATCTCATCTTATGCCATTGTAAAGATTGTGTAAGATGATTATATCTTATTTCAGTCATTTTTAAAGTAGTATTTATAATCTATCTCATTGCAGAGAGGCGTTGATTATTTAAAGAAAAAAAGTCTAAAGATACAGAAAATTAGAATAATTAGCAGTAAGTGGTCCACGCAAAATGAAATATACCAAGGCAAACATGCGTATACTATATCCTCATAGTTATATTGTTTTTAATAAGCTGTGAGCTGTGGCCCAATAGTGTGTTTTAAAATCAGCTGAGTTAAAACCAGTATTTTTTTAAAGTGATATTGAATAGTGTAGAAAATATCAAAGTTTATAACACACAGTAATAATAAATATTACTTTCTAAAACTTTTCTTGCATATGTTTAAATGCATATGTATAATGTACATTTTTACTGTGGGTCATGATAAAATGAATATAAATAAAATAGAAATATAAGTATATGCCAAATATGAAATCAGTGAGTCACAGGGTCTGAGCCTACAGGTTTTCTAAGATAAGACCCAATTGTTTTCCAAATTTGTTTTTAAAAACTTCATATATCCATGAGCAGTTTAAAAGTTTCCATTGTGCCACATCTTCAGCAGTAGTTGTTATGAAAGACTTTAATTTTTTTTTTCTAATATAATGGAAAAAAATGGCATGCCATGTGATTTTAACATACATACCTCAGTTACCAATGATGTTCATCTAATATTTAAGGGCATTATGGATTCTTCTTTTGAAAAGTGTCTTTCACATTTTTCTTTTTGGGCATCTTTTTTTCTTTTTTTCTTATAAAAGTAATACACACACACACACACACACACACACATATATATATATATATATATATATAAAGTGGTTATGTGTTTTTAATTAAAGTATATTTTTCCAAACTATCGGTTAGCTTTTCACTTCATTTCTGCTGTATTTTGTTTAACAGAGTTGTTGATTTTCATTTAATCAATGTAGTCATATTGGTCACTTCTTTCCTTTATTGGTTTGTGAATTTGGGGTTATAACTGAAGAATTATTTCCTTACCCTAATTCATAAAGCCATCTTTACACATTTTCTCCTATGTATTTTTGAAGTTTTGCCATTTAGAGTTAATTATTCCTGTCATCTGAAATTGATTTTAGTGTATGGTGTGAGGTAAGGATCCAGTTTCCCCTTTTCTAAAGAGGTGGTCAATTGTCCAAGAATCTTTTATGAAACAATTTATCATTTCCTTTTTAATCTACAATCTGTAATCTAACGCCACTCCATACATGTTAGTGTGATTGGGACTTTTGATTCTGTTCTAGTTTATCTATTTTTGAACTCTTATCAAATCATTTTAATTGCTATAATTTCCCTCGTTTTGAATAAGTCTTGATATCTCATGGACACTTTTTATTTTCCAAATATGTCTCAGCTATTTTTGGGCCTTTCCTTTTTGATGAATTTTAAAAGCAGCTTACCAAGTTTCTAAAAAGGTTTCTAGAGACGTTTATTAAAGGAATCTCTAAATCCTGTATATATTATTGCTATTTTAAATGTTATTTAATAAATTATATAATTTGTTTACTGCTAGTCTATAAATATATATTTTACTTTTATATTTGTATTTATTCTTATGCCCAGCCACTTTGTTATGCCTTATATGTGTTCACATTTTGTCCAGCAGATATTTAAGTTTTAGGGGTTAACAATTATTTCATCTTCAAACTAACAATTCTATTTATTTTTTTTCGAATCCTCATATTTATTTTTGTTTCTTGACTTATTGCTCTGAGTATAATACTCAGTACAAGCAGCTTTATTGCAGTCTTGATTTTAATGGGAATGCATTTAAACATTTTACTATTAAATACAATGTTTGCTGTAGGGTTTTTATAGATATCCTTTATCATCTTTAGTAGGGACTCTTCCACTTTTAGTTTTTTAAGTAGATTTAATCATGGATAGATATTGAATCTTATTGATTATCTTTCTGCATTTATTGACAGAATCATATATTTCCCCACCTTTAATCTATTTATATGGAATATAACTAATATATTTTCCATATGTCAATATATTTATATATTTCTGTCTTTCTTGGATAAAACTAATTTGAGCATGATGTATTTTTATTGTTGTAATAGTTTTGTTAATATTTTTCATTGAAAATGTTTCTATTCATGAGTCAGATTGGGCTCTAATTTTAAGTGAAATCATTATAAACATTGATACCTGAATTGAGCTCATGTTCTTTGAAATGCCATTTTAAGTGTGCTTATGCTGAATATTCATTGCAGAAACTTATCAGCATTTTCATAAAAATACAGTTGTTAAAACACAGGAACTAGACAGACTGACTTTGAAATCTTCACTTACCAATTCCACCACTTACTGATTCTGTGTACTTGATCTATTTACTTTCTTTCTTTTAGCCTCAGTTACCTTGTCTGAAATACGAACTTAATGATTGTGCCCAGTTTATGGGAATGCTTTATCATAAATGTGAAGAACTAACACAGTACTTGGAATATAATTCACATTAAATAATGATAGCTATGTCTGTTATTATGATTTTATTAAAGAAAACTATATTTTAATCATGTCAACAAATATTTCTACTTATAATTTAAATCTGTTAAATTTTGCTGTTCCTAAACCTTAATTGAACTGATCTGTTATTTTAAAGGGGACATTTAGAGTATTACTACTTTTATTCTAAATTGCAGTTCATGGAGATTTTCATTTTCCACATTGTGGCACAAAAGACAGTTGTGGTTTTTGTTTGTTAGTTTTTTAGAAACACTATTTATTTACCCATCCAAACCTCCAGTCCTCCCCTTGAGAATATAATGATATCACTTGCTGGGGACAAGAGGAAGTGAAGGGCTGTCCACCAACAGAAGCTATGTGAGGAAAGCATGTAGAACTCTAAGGGGCCTTTGAAGAAAGCATCACCACCTGTGAACAGTAGTGTACACAATGCACATTGGATTTATCTAGCTTTTTTTCCACAAAAAGGAAGGATATTGTGCAATCAACTATGGCAATTTTTTCCACTTTATAAAACTTTCTTAACATTTCTTAATTTAAAAACAATGTCCTTACAGATAGGCTTCCACTTTAGTTATAGATTAAATGCATACACAAAACAGTAGGATTAGAGAATGAAAGTTCGCTAGCTAGACAGTACAGGTACAAATCACAGTCTCCTGCCTTAGGTTAGTGATGGAACCCATACCTTAATTTTCTGTTCTGGACAAGGATGATGGTTGTTGCTTAGGAGAAGAAATGAGTCAATATGCTAAGAATGCTAATCCATAGCTAGCGCTAGGTGTGTTAACAAATTATTATCTTTATTCTATACTAGGAAAGGCTGTCTTTGGTTTAACTTTTGGGTATTACCTAACAATAAACTTTGAACATGCCTAAAATGCTCTATTTAATAGATATTATTTCTTTAGCCAATTTAAATCTTGTGAAATGTAATTTTAATGCATATCTTATTGTTTTGTCTTAGTAAATATACACATTATGCCTAAAGATCAAATTATTGGGTAGTGGAATTGTAATCTTATCTTCAACCTAAAAAATCTAAGCATTTTAAATTTACTTTCCTTTATAGTAATCATAACTTTTCTAGAAAAGATGATTTTTTAAAATATAATGATTATACCAAAAATATTACTTCATGTAATCCATAAAATATCCCTAATATTTTCAATCCAATAAATACCTGCCAGTTTAGAAATTTATACTTACCTTATCCAAATGATTTATATTGTATCTTGCTAGAAGCAATGTATCTGTATCAATGTCAAAATACTATGGACAACACAGTCATTATTCCAAGTCAAATTTTTATCCTTAAGCCCATATATATATATATATATGAAATAAATTCACTGCTTCAATCCCCAGTAAATGTATTTTTAGGGGAAATGAAAGTCACTAATACCCATGGGCACTTAATACCCTTGCATAATCATTCTGACTTGGTAGAGAAGAGTTGTTGTATGGACATTACCTACCTTATAGGAATGCTGTGAGGATTAGAGAAATATCTGAAAAATGATTTGAGCTTCTCCAGGAAAGATGGTATTAATATGAGATGGTATTTTTATTTCAATGAGCAGGAGATTGAAAGAGGATTATTTCCTGAAGTGGAAGGGAGGCCTGGTGGTGAAGAAATCAAATGCTCCACCTTAAATAAGATGGATTACAGTGATATCAAAGGGACACTCAGCTGGTTCAGACCTTAGTGGCAAGAAAAAGGAAGCAGCCTCTAATCCTCCATCCAGCCAGCCTTGGTTTTTGTGAATAGATCCACTCTCGAGAAAAGTAGGTAGCAATGGAAAATGTTTGAGGTCAAGACAGTCAATAGCTGTTGAGCTCACATAGTTTTCTCTCCCCATGTCACTCCAGATGTGATGCATTATAATGTATGTAAAACTGGGAAGAAAGAGCACAATAAACCATATGGTTAAGCTGGATATGTTTAAAGCAAATGTCAACAGATAAGAACTATGCATCTATACTACCACATTCTGCATATAAGAACACAGAAAATTAATATGGGCATAAAAACCCAACAGAAACTAGTTGATTTTAGAGCAAATCTAGTCCCCCATCCCTACCACTGTCACAAAGTTAAACAAATCAGCACTGCTTGATGCTTGTTCTGGGTAGTTAAGCATATAATAAAAGAGTAGACTTCAACCTTCTGAACTGATTTTTTGTTAATTTGGTTTTTGTATTAGTGTTCTCCAGTGAAACTAAATAAATGGATATACATACATACGTATACACATACACACACACACATACACACACAGACACAGGGTCTCGGGGGAAACACAGGGAAAGAGATTGATTTGAGAGGTTTATTATGGAAATAGTTTTGCGTGATTATGGGGTCTGAGGAGTCCCACAGTATGCCATCTGCAAACTGAAGAACAAGTAAAACCAGTGGCGTAATTCAGTCTGGTTGAGAGCTGGAGTAGGTACTCGAAAGGCCCAAGAATTGGGAGCTCTGATATCCCACAAGAGAGATGAATGACCCTGCTCAAGGAGAGAGAAAGAACTTGCACTTCCTCAGCCTTTTTGTTCTGTTTAGACCCTCTGTGGATGGCACGCTGCCCATCACGTTGATGAGGGGGAACCTTCTTTACTCCCCTACTAGTTCAAATGCTAACCTCTTCCAGAAATGCCCTCACAGAGCAGCTATGTGGCCATCCGGCAGCCCAGTCAGGGTGACACATAAGATTCATTTTTTTCAGCAATCACAATCATTGTCTTTTCAGTGCTTTATTGTATTTAATCATTGTGGGTTTTGCTGCAGAATATATTGTGATTTTTAATATCATTAATGTAAAAATGATATTCATAATTCATGATTAAAAGTGCAGGCTATATTGGAGTGAAGTAAAACCAATCTATTTTGCATCAGGTACAACCATGATATGGCTCTTAGAAAATAATTCAAAATTGATGTTACCAGTTAATAGCAGACAAACTCCCAAACACTTTATGCAGTGAAAGATGAGAATTGTAAAATCTTCAGAGAAATCTGAACTTCCTAACATTTAAAGGGGGATAGCTATAGGTAAGGCATAAGTTAGAAAACCTGGGCTCTTGGGCATGTTTGGAGCTGGCTGTGTGATGTTGAGAAATTCACTTAAACTCTCTGAACTTCCATCATTGTCTTAGCATGAGGCCTGGACACCAATATTTTTTAAATGTCCAAAGTTAATTCCAATATGTAGGCAGGGAGAATAACCAGGATCGGTACAGGTCAGTCCTTCTCAAATTTCAATGCGAGTATGAAGCACTTGGGAATCTTGCTGGGCTTGTGCCTGAGATTTGTTGGGGTTTTGTTTTGTTTTGTTTTGTTTTGTTTTGTTTTGTTTTGTTTTGTTTTGTTTGAGACTGAGTCTTGCTCTTGTCACCCAGGCCGGAGTGCAGTGGTGCAATCTTGGCTCATTGCAACCTCCTCTTCCCATGATCAAGTGATTCTCCTGCCTCAGCGTCCTGTGTAGTTGGGATTACAGGCAAGCGCCACCACACCTGGCTAATTTTTGTATTTTTAGTAGAGACAGCGTTTCACTGTGTTGGTCAGGCTGGTCTCAAACTCCTGACCTCATGATCTACCCACCTTGGCCTTCCAAAGTGCTGGGATTACAGGCATGAGCCACCGTACCTGACCAAGATTTTCTGTTTCTCCCAAGATCCTGGAGGGTGCTGCTGCTGTTGCCACTAGTCTGTGGACCACACTTTGAGTAGCAAAGACACATATGGTAGTTTGGAGGGTGGCTAAGGCTTGTAGGCAATAGCTGTTAATTCAATCAGGCTACTCTTCATCTTCAGTACACTCCTCACCTGGACTCCAGCATCTCTCTCTTCTAGAAGGATCAGAGCTATTTCTGATGGAGCCAACTGTTCTATTTTAGGTTTCCACCAGAAAAGCTCAGGAATAATAAGCAATTTGCACACCTTGGTATCTGTTGTGAGCATTTAGGAAAAAGAAAATACTATAAGGTGTTGCTATAAATCTATTATATTTCCATTCCCCAAATATCACCCTATAAATTTTTTTAAGCAACACATTCTCATAGTTTTCTCCTCAGGTACTTAGCACTTAATATCAAATCAAAATGTACTGTTACACTTCATCATTCCCTTGAAGTTTAAAACATTCTTGTAGCACACAATCATTAACAAAAGGATGGATTCTAATGTATTTTCAATGGAATATTAAAATCAGTCATTTGTTTCCTTTCTTAATGACTTCTCTAAGTATTTATACACATACATATAGAAAATATGTAAGATGTTAGATAAGTGAAATTCTATCTTACAATAAATCTTTGATTAAACCTCCACATTATTTTTATAAAAAGTCAAAGCAAATAAATGTAGCAAGATTTTTTCTATTTTTCCTTACAACTGAGCAAGTAAGTTTAAAAGCACATGCCAGAATTGCCCCAAAAATATGTTGTAATTTCATTTGAATGTGACAGTACATTTCAGAAGAAACGGTTTCTGAGGTGATCTGGGATAGGTTACAATGCTAATCTCACAGCTGTCTCTGTAACTCTCAGTACTCATAAATCATGTGGTCTGTAATAAGAGAAGTAAGTCTGAGAGGTTAGAAATCTTAAGAAAATTGTGACAGAGGTGATAGATGATATGAAATGACTACATTCTAAAGATGTTACATAAAGGGGAATGTGTTGCATTTGAGGTAAGTGCCTCCTTGATTTTTTTTAAGCAGAGGAATATTAGCAATGTAATACATGGCATTCTTCAGCAACATTATTTGATAAATTTTAAGAATTTCTATATCAAAAAGTAGTTTTATATATAATCAAGCTTCATCTGAGTTTTCAGGAAGTCTTACTGGCCATTCTGATTATTTTGGAGGTTTCTGAAGACATCGTATGTTCTCAAGTGTGCCTTGTGGAGTTGTTGAAAGTATTCAATTTATTTTCTAAGTCTAAATTCATTAAACAATCTGAAAAGCATTTCAAGTACAATATAGGAAACAGAAACACTGAAAAAATAACCATGGGACTAGACTCTTGTTTTAGTCCTGTGCTGGACTGTGAGGGCATTAGAATTTTTTACAGTGAGCAAATAAACTTTGAATATCATTATCTAAAAACAAAGAAGTTGAGGTCTTTATAAATGCTTGTATCCAGAACACTGTAACATTATTTCAGTTTTTGCACTATTTCAATTTTTGCATTATTTCACTTTTTGAAATGGCTAATTTAAATTTAAGTAGAAAACAGTCCAATTCTTTAAATAAGATGTAATAATTTTGACTCTGTTAATAGCCCAGCACTTTTCCATGTCACTCTGAAGGGAATATCTTTTTACTCCTCGTATTGTCTAACAGGTTCCCCTGAACGACCTGTGGCTAGATCAGGAGAGTAAGCGTAGAACTAAGGAAGAATTCTCTGAGGAATTCATATTATGAATATATATTTTTATACTCAATAGTTTATGATATAATAAAGCACTTGTATATTGCTAATGGTTTAATCAATCTTTATGTTCTTTTAAAATACCTGCATATATCAGTGACTTTTACCAGTGATTTTTAAAAATTCACATCAGTGTGAGTCATCAAACCTAACTTCTATAACAAATATACATGCCTAAAAACATATTTTATTCAGAATGAGCTTTTCTCATTTTGTTTGAATCCTTAAAATAATTGTTTCTGATTACTATTAAAAATATATAAGCACATTGTCTCTCATTAACAGGAAACATGTATCAAATTGCATATATTTTCATGATCATGATGTATTTGAATATATGTACTAAGCTGATATGCTGTAATGATTGTCTGCTTTTTACTTTTTTAATTAATATTTTAAATTTTTAGAATAGACTTAGCTTCGTAGAAAAGTTGCAAAGATAGTACAGAAAATTCCCATACCCCATACCGAGTTCCCCTATTATTAGCATTTTTCATTAATGTGGTTCATTGGTGACATTTATGCCCAGTATGATACATTATTATTAACTATAGTCCATACTTTCTTCAGACTTTTCTGGTTCTTAACGTAATGCCCTGTTTCTGTCATAAGGCATTAGGTTAAAAACCAGAAAAGTCTAAATAAAGTATGGACTGTAGTTAATAATAACATATGATCTTGGGCATCCTTCCTGTCCACAATACCACACTACAGCTCATTGTTAGGTCTCCTCAGGTGCCTCTTTGCTCTGAGTTTCTCAGACTTTGCTTGTTTTGATGGCCTTCACAGTTTTAAGGAGTATTCGTCAGGTATTTTGCAGAATATCCTTCAGTAGAGATTTATCTGCTGTTTTTTCTCATGATTAGACTGGGGTTATGAGTTTGTATGAAGATCACAGAGATAAAGTGCCACGCTCATCACATCATATTAAGGGTATATGCTATCAGCATGACTTATCACCATTGACTTTAACCTTGATCATCTGACTTCAGGTAGTGTTTGTCAGGCTTTTCCACTGCAAGTTTAAAGAAAATCACTATGCACAGCCCTCACTTAAGGAGTGGGGCATTATTCACCTCCTTGAGGGGCAGAGTATCTACATAAATTCACATTCTACACAGGATATGTGTCAATTTTCCACCCTCTATTATTTATTCAATCATTTATTAAGACCATTTTGTACTAATGGACATGTATTTTATACTTTGCGTTGTAATCCAATGGTACCTTATGGATTTTGTTGCTCAAGTTGTTCAAGCTTTGGGCCATAAGGGCTCTCTCAGGTTCCTGTGTCCTTTTGACATACCTGGTCGAGCTACTTTTAAGCATAGAATAGAAATAATGTGTATCTGCAGATTTTGAGACATTTGGATCTCCAAATTTTCTGGAAGTCTGATATTTGGTAGCTAATTTTCCTGAGAAAGTGAATGGCACGGTGAAAAAAAACACAATTTGTTATGGTAT